CATTAAACATGGTCGTTCTCTTCTGCAGCAAGGACTCATTAAACTCATTAAAACGGCGAGTCAGTACATGTTTGGACGAACCCCTGGTTAGGAGACTTACAACCTCGGATTCCCCTAATGAATAACATTTTTGTGGATTTGGAATTAAAAGTGAGTGACTTACTCATAAGCAGTATAGGTTCCTGGAATCTTCCTAAGCTTCAAGACATGTTTTATCAACAAGACATTGATCTTATGCTTCGGAAAAAACCTGTGATCTCCCAGAATGACTATTGGATTTGGAAGTATAACAGGAGCGGTGACTATTCAGTCAAATCTGGGAATCGGCTAGCTAACAGGGACAAGCATCAGGATCTGATCAGGGAAGCGGCAGCTCAACCCTCTCTCAACGGTATCAAAGATGACATATAGAGGATGAAGGCACCATCTAAGATCAAAAACTTCATATGGAGAGCTATCAGTGGAGCCATCCTGGTGGTTGACAAGATCTTAACAAGAGGGATCAAAATTGATGAGAGATGTCAAACATGTGGTTTGGAAGGAGAATCAATCAATTATGTGCTCTTCACTTGTACGACGGCAAGGCAGGTTTGGGTAATCTCTGAGGTTCCAGTGCCTTATGAAGGTTTTAATTGTGGTTCGATATAATCGAATTTGGCCTTTCTTATTTCTCTTCAGAAGAGGTTTGAGATCCCAATTGAAATTAGAAGAAGCATTCCTTAGATTTTGTGGAATATTTGGAAGAACCGGAATACTCTCTTCTTTAAGGGGAAGAGATTTTGGCTAGTGAAGACAAAGAGGAAAATTGATCTGGAAATAGACGACTGGCATATGGCTCAAGTGGTTGATCAAAACATAACGAGGCTTGTACAGGAACAGAGGGTCAAGAGAGCATCATGGAAACCACCGCCGTCGCAATGGTTGAAATGTAATGTGGCGTGTTCTTGGTCCAATAAGTCTTTTGGTTGTGGAGGTGCATGGGTTATCCATGATTCCAATGGGTTAGTACTTCTTCACAGTATAAGATCTTTCTCTGGTTTGCACAACAAAATTGAGGCAAAGAGGAAA